TTTGTGGGTCCCATAGCCTCTGTTGTGATACTCAATGACCCTCAACGAGATGGACTGACACAGTGGCTGCAATGATGGACTCAGGCAGAGCAAGAATCGTGAGGCTGGCACAGGACCAGGCAGTGTTCCATTCTGCTGTGCGTAGGGTCGCTATGAGTCGGAGACAACTGGACAGAGCCTAACACAACAGCATGTCCACACCACTTTGTGAATTTCCAAGAACTTTCTGATCCGTTGCCACGTTTGATCCTCACAAAACACCTCTGAGCCGTGTGAGCAGCCATCAGCATCTTTATTTTATGGAACCTTAGACTCACTCAGTACAATGTCACCTCATGCCCGAAGTCACCGAGCAAACAAACGGTCATTGTGAACAACCATTGAAGCAGTAGCTAAACTGTATCAAGCATTTATTATGTGTCAGGCAGTATTCTAAGCCAGGGGTCAGCAAACTACATCCCGCAGGTCAAATCTGGCCCACCACTTATGATTTGTAAATAAAGTTTTATTGGAACACAGTTACGCCCACTTGTGTATGCATTGTCTATGGCTGTTTCCATGCTACAGTGAAGAGTTGAGTATTACAACAGAGGCTATGTGACCCACAAACCCTAAAATATTCACTAGCTGATGACCCTTTACAGAGAAAATTGGTCAATGTTGTTCTAAACACTTTTCTTATCTACTAGTAACCATTTCCAAAGTACACAAGATGAAATCTCACCATCCTTGCTTTTAAAGAGCATTCTGGCTGTACTTCTTCCAAGACAGGATTGTTTGTTCTTCTGGCAGTCTGTGGTACATTCTTTGCCAATACCGTAATTCAAAGGCATCAATTCTTCTTCCGGCTTCCTTACTCACTGTCCACTTCTGCATGCATTTGAGGCCATTGAAAATAATCATTATAGTATGAGTTTTAACATGGGAGCTGCCCTGAGTCACCCTTCAGGCCTGACACTGAACTCACCCCCATGGCTCTGTTTTCAGCCAAACAAGAGAAGGCCTCTAAGATGAACAATAACACCGGGGAGGAACACACTCCTTAGAGTAACTGATCACGTGGGATCCAAGGGCAGCATCTGCCCTGAGATAAAGCTCAGAAGGCAGGAAGGGTAAGAGAAGGACCAACGGGAACAGGAGACACAGGGAGGAAGTGGGGTGAGAGGGGTCTCATTGTGGGGACTACACGGAATGTCACGAAACAAAACGTGGATGTACCGTTGAATGGAAAACCAATTTGCTCCATAAACTTTCACCCAAATCACCAAAAAAAGTTTAAAAATAATATAATAAGTAAACCAAAAAAATTTCTAAATGAAAGCATCAACTGAGCCCATATGGGGAGGTCTTAACATAATCCCTACGGAGACTGCAGCCAGCCAGGGTAGTAGGTCCTTCAAAATGTCAGGTGACTTCTGCCAACCCCTAACCTAATTGCCATGGGAGGTTTACTCTGTGTTTCCTCACCCATCTCCTTGGAGATGCTGTAAACCCACTGCCACGGAGTCATTTCTGACTTATAGAGACCCTCATTGGGTTTCCAAGACTGTAAATCTTTACAGAAGTAGATTGCTTCATCTTCCTCCCGTGGAGGAGCCGGGGGGGTGTTGAACAGCTGACCTGCTGATTAGCAACCAAATTTCTTACCCACTATGCCACCGGAGCTCCTCTGGAGATGCCTCTAACCAAAACCAAACCAAACCCACTGCCGTTGAGTTGATTCTGACTCATAGAGACCCCCTTTGGGCTTCTGAGACAGTAAATCTTTATGAAAGTAGATTTCCCAGTGTTTCTTCTGTGGAGTGGCTCGTGGGTTTAAACTGCCAACCTTCTGGTTACCAGTCAGATGTCTTACCCACTATGCCACCAGAGCCCTTCGGAGATGCCACTAGTCACAGAAAATTTGCTTAACATCCAGTGGCTTCTCCTCCTTCCATTTCTCTACAGCAGGGACAACACTGTCCCTTGCACACTCTGTCCACTGAAGCAGCTTGGACCCCCCACAAAGTAAATGACACACAGGCTTCCCAAGGGCACACGTGTGGTGAGCACCAAAATCAAAACAACCAAACCCATTGCTGTTAAGTCAATTCCAAACCCACAGCGCCCCCATGTGTTACAGAGGAGAACTGCCCCATGGGGCTTCCTTGGCTGTGATACTTACAGAAGCAGGTCTCCAGGCCTCTCTCCCGCAGCGCCACTGTAGGGAGGCAGAGTCCTCACTGCTGAGCTCTTGCAGAAGAGCAGGGACTTGGCAACACAGTTGGCCACACTGCCTTGCTTCTGCTGGGAGGGTATGACAGCTCTCAGAGCACACAAAACAGTGCACACTCACTATTCATTGTGTGTTACTTTTAAGAAAATATTTCAGCGAACTGTTATAACAAATCACACTGTGAACACAAGGGGTCGTTTTCGATCAGATTTGTGTGTGTCATGTCAACATGAGTCTCCTCAAAACCCTATGAGACAGGCTGTTGTTGTTGTTGCTATGTGTCAAGTCAGTTCTAACTCATAGCAGCTCGACAGCAGAATGAAGCACTGCCCAGTGCTCCACCACCCTCGTAGTCATTGCTGTGGTTGGGCCCATCACTGCGGCGACTGCCAGTCAACCTTGTTGAGGGTCTTCCTCTTTTGCGCTGACCCCACCTGACAGGTGAGGAAACTGGGGCAGGGAGCAGCGACCACCTTGCCACATGTCACACAGTAAGTGAAGGGGCCAGGGTCGAAATCTTCGCTTCTGTCTCCAGAGCTTTGTACTGAGCCGTGTTGCCAGCTAGCACTGCGCCAACGAACGCCATCAAGAGCGCTGGGGCTTTTTGCTCTTGTTTTCTTAACTGTTTATTGAGATTTGGGTGAAATGTTACCGAGCAAATCCGTTTTCCGTTCGACATTTCACACACTTTGTGCTTCATGTCATTGACTGCAATCTCCTCCGCGTAACATGGCTTCCCCCACTTCCTCCCGGTGTTTCTCGTTCCCATCCCTCCTTCTCTCCTAACACTTCCTGCCTTGTGAACCTTGTCTTTGGGGCAACGCTGTCCTTCTGAGCTCAATGGTTGATTTTCTAGGTTGTTTTTCATTTCGTTCTGTCATCCCACAGATGCTCCCCTCTCTGCTGGTTCCTGGTAAACTGACAGCTGAGTAATGGGGTGGTTTGCCCCAGGAGTTTGTCCAGCGCACACATAAAGTGTCCATAGGGCAGGCATATCTCAGCTCCACTAAAGGCAACTGCTCAGATGGCCTAAGAGAAACCTCCCAGGGCAGGAAATTCTGAAGGGAGGTTGTTTATACAAGGTCACTTGGCTGTGCACCAAGAGGCAGGAAATGGTGCATGAGTTCTGGTCTACAGGCGAAGAGACATGGGTTCTTGCTCATCTTGGCCTCTCTCGCTAGCTCTGTGTTTTTGGACAAGGTTCTTGCACTCTCTGGGCAAAGTACAAACTGGACTTCAAGGCTTGGCCCTGCTGCATCTAGAGGACCTTGACCTTGGATAACTGTTCACTTCTCTAGGCTTCCTGAGTGGCAAAAACTTTGGACTAAGCAAATTTTGGCAGTTCAAGCCTACCCAGAGGTGCTGCTGAAGAAAGGGCTGGCAATCTGCTGCCATAAAGATTACAGGCAAAGAAACCCTGGGGAGCAGTTCTACACGGTAACCCTTGGGGTCCCCCTGAGTCAGAAACAACTCAAGGGCAACAGGTTCACTTCTCCGGAGGTCCCTGGGGGGCCCGGATGTTTCCACTAACAGAAAGGTCGTGAGTCCAAACCTACCCTGCCAGAGACACCTTGGAAGAAAGGCCTGGTGACCATCTTCTGGAGTCAGAGCCTTGAGCACCCTATGGGGTGCAGGTCTACTCTGCACGCATGGAGTCACCAGGTGTCAGAACTGACTCAGTCGCAACTGGTGTCTTTCTTTGTCTCTGAGTCCGAGCTTCCTCATCCAGGCTCAGAAAGATGAGTGCATGCTCTCGGGCCGCGAGAGTAGGGGTGGATAAGCGTGGGATTCATAAACCAAAACTTAATATTATTGTTAAAATTATTGTTATTGTTCTCTCCCGAGCCTTTGTTTCCCAGGCTGTCTGAGCACAATGTCCACAGGCCCCGCCAGCAATGGTGTGTTTGTCGTCATCCCGCCCACCAATGCCGGCGGACTCCGCCCACCTTCGGCCATTCTGCCCACCTCCATGTGCCAGCCTCCGGGAATCGTGCAGTTTGAGGAGTCACCACTGGGGGCCCAGACACCGAGGGCCAGCCAGCCATCTGACCTGCGGCCCGTGGAGACATTCCTCACAGGAGAGCCCAAAGCTTTAGGGGTAAGAACGACCTCACCTAAACTTTAAGCCTTAACCCAAAACTATCCCTTAAAGTCTTCTTTCAACCAATATATACCTTAATAAGTAAACTGTGTCTGCCTTGAGCATTGCTCTGTTAAACATTTATCTATGTGAGATGAAATGGACAAGAGCAACTCGAAAGGATGAGAAGTTTAGGGGAAGGGAGTGTAAGTCAATGGTGGTGGAACAATTTGGAGAAGGCTGGCAAGAATAGTGGTTCACCTTGAAGAATGTAATCAAGGCCACTGAGTTGTACGTGTAGACAGGGTTGAAACGGTTATACGTATTCTCACTGAAATTAAATAAATAAATTAAATAAATAGAGGAAAAGAACAGCCACTCATACCTGAGGTCTAGGTGCTGGGCAGATGGTGAGCAACCCAGGGCTAGGGTACCCACGTGGGTCGGGAGAGCAGATGGTTGACAAATACTTGAAGACCCTTCGCCATGGAGCTCCCAGAGTTCATTCCAAATAGGGAGAAATTCTAAGGGAGAAAATGAGTGGTAGGGGAGGGGCAACATTAGCAGGACAAAGTTCTCCTCGGGAAGATGACATTTAAGCTCAAACCTAGGTGCTGGGCTGAAGGCAGGTGAGGGAAGATCTGGGGGAAGGGCTTACCACTTAGAGGGAACAGCATGCACAAAGGCCTTGAGGTGGAGCAGGGTTGTTTTGTTCAAGAAGAGACAGAGCGCTGGTGTGGCTGGAAAGCAATGAACACAGGAAGGAAGGAGGTGAGATGAAGGTGCAGTGCTAGGGGAGGGCCAGCTCACTCAGAGCTGACAGCCTCTGGCCAGACGGCCTCTAAGAGGCCTTCCGGTCTCAGACAGCATTGAGATACTGGCCTTGGGGAGAAAAGAAAATTTCAGTTTCTACATATGCACATATATATATACACACACATACAAAGACAGGTATCTGTACATGCATGGGTGTGTATGCACACATGCACGTACACTGTTGTCATTGAGTCAGACTCACGGCCACTCCGTGTGTGTCAGAGTGCCCAGAGGGTTTTCACTGGCTGGATTTTTGGAAGAAGATTGGCAGGCCTTTCTTCCAAGCCACCTCTGGATGGACTTGAAACCCCCAAATTTTTAATTAGTAGCATCAGCAACCCCTTGTGTGTGTGGGTGGGTGTGTGGGTAAGCGTGTGCGTGTGTGTATGTGTGTATGTGTGGTGCCTCAGCTTGTCCCTTGGCTTCAGTTTCTCACAGTGCAAGGTGGAAACACAGTGTAGCAATGGTGGTGCCGATGTTGACGGCAGGGCCCACGTGTTGAGCACCCGTGAAGGAGCCACACACAGCGCTAAGGACTCAGCATATAGTCTCTCACTAGAGCCTCTCCACTGCTCTGTGAGACAGGGTCATAGTTCCCATTGAACAGATTGGGAGACAGGTTTGGGAAGGCGGAGTCGCGTGCTCAAAGCCACACCTCTGGTAAGTGGCATCCAGCAACCTAGGATGGCCTGATGGCAAAGTTGTACATTCAACTCTGCTTCTCTTAAGAGTTTAAGAGTTCTACACTGAAGACTTCACCATGTCTACTGGTCACGGATGGTCTAGAGACAGGGAGCAAATTCAATTGCTGGAACTCTGAACGTCAGAGACCTTGGGAAACGATGACCAAGGCAGTTGAGGAGACGCATCCAAATTGCTGAAAAATGTTAAAAGGTGGGAAATGGGGAGTGTCACCCAGTGAGAAGATGCTGGCCTGCCACTTGACAGCTGGGAGATCTCAGGCAAGTTGCATAACATCTCTGAACCTAAGTTTCCCCACACCTGAACTTAGAATAATTATACCAACCTCATAATGTTAGGTGTCAAATAGTTGGCACAGCGCTGAGTGTAGACAGGTATTAGATACCTGCAACTCATGTTTTACGAGGAGCAATCGAAAAAGTGACAGGAGTTTACTAGCCGAGAAACACATGCAGGGAAGGGAATGATCGTGGCAGGCTGGGATACTGGAGGAAGGCTAAAAGGATGGAAGACATGTAGCCAAAGGGAGACGCTTCAAGCAACTCCTGCCTGTAAATAGCTAACATCGCAGCGCTCAAGTTACAGAGAAAACCAAAACACCAAACTTGTTGTTGTGGAGTCAATTCTGACTCAGGGCGACCCTGTAGGGCAGAGTAGAACTGTTCCAAAGGGTTTTTAAGGCTGTAAATCTTTACTGAAGCCAACTGCCACATCTTTGTCTCACAGAGTGCTGGTGAGTTCAAACTGCCAGACTTTTGGTTAGCAATGGGTCACTTAACTACTGCGCCACCAGGGCTCCTGTGTTAGAGGGGGGCTGCAGATCTCCCAGATGACCCCAGGAAAAGGGTTCTAGTAGTTCACAATCCAAGCTGCCCAGGAATGGGCTCCACATTGGCATGGTGGTGGCACCTGTTACCAAAGGGGTCCCTGTAGAAGCCACGAACTGGAAGGGCCCCTGAATGACACGGAAACTCAGATTCCACGCCTCTAATATCCCTTTCTAATCAATCCTAGAATTCACTCCTCTCACGTTTAGCAAGAAATGTAGCAGATCTTACTGGGAGCTGCCATGTCCCCACCCTTGGGGACCATCACACTTGTGGGAATAGGTCAGTGGTGTGCTGGGAAGCCAACGCTCAAAGACAAAAAAAAGTCCAAGTCCAGATTTCAGCTCAGTGGCACACCGAGTGACAGACAGTAACAGACAGTGAGCTAGAAAGATGCTCAGAGATGTTCACTACAGGCCGGAAGGGGGCGGTGAAGAAGTCCTAAGTGAGACATTCAGTGCAGAGAATGTTGTGGGTCATCAGAACGAGGCCTGACAAAGCCACGTGGCAGCTTGGGATTCCTGGTTAAGAGCACAAACCAGGATACAACCCCATGGGAGCACTCCGCCCTCTGCGACATAAAAATATATGTGCCAGACGGTTGGGAATCAGGAAGAAGACATCCTCAGAGGCATGGAGACAGGCAAGTGGGTCCCGCAGGCTGTGGGAAACCGATTTTCCTTCTTAAAACTGTCTTTTATGTTTGTTACCATGATATCGCTTCAGAAGAATCCGAGTTTGGTTTTGGCTGCCTGGCCAAAGTTGAGGAGCGGCGGAGCACTGCGTGGCCCCCCTCCTGCCGGCAGGGGGCGGTGTGGAGCTGGCTCCGTGGCCGGCCACGCCTCGCGCTCTGCCTCACTCCTGCGAAGCCAGCAGGGGGCAGTGTGGAGTGGACTCCATGGCCCTGCTGAGCGCCACCTTCTCCCCGCAGACAGTGCAGATTCTCATCGGCCTCATCCACCTGGGGTTCGGCAGCGTGCTGCTCATGGTGCGCCGTGGCCACGTGGGGATGCTCTTCATTGAAGGCGGTGTCCCCTTCTGGGGAGGAGCCTGTGTGAGTTCCCGGGTCATGGGGGCGGCGATGATACCGGACCTACCTCTCTCCCGGGGCCACCCCACTCTCAAAATCCTGGACCCAGCCCGGTCCTGGATGCGGGCCTGAGGGCATCTCTAGAATTTGAAGGAAAAAAAAAAAAAATTGTTATGAGTCCCTTCTGATTCTTGGTGACTCCATGTGTGCGAGAATAGAACTGCCCTCCATATTTCCAATGGCTGTGGTCACCAGGCCTTTCTTCAAAGGCACCGTGAGTGGACTCAGACCGCCAACCTCTTGGCTAGCACCCAAGTGTGTTAACTGTTTGCCAGCCAGGGACTCCCGAAGAACTTGGGCCTGAATCTAATTCCTAACCTCAAACCCTAATCATAAGCCTAAGTCTGATCCCTCCCCTACGTGTGGGAAGCGCCCGGCAAAGAGCCTGCCACAGAGAAGCTGCTGAAGAGGATGGGAGAAAGGGACGCAGGTCAGGGGTGAGGACGCCAACCACCTGGGTTACCTGGATTCTAAGCCTCAGCCCGGCTCCTCACCTGACCCGCAGAAGCCCTTTAGCTCCCCTGGGGTCCCACCCCCTCTGGTGTCTCCTGGGAGTCTGAGCAGAAGCCTCACTGGGTCACCTTCTCCCCACACAGTTCATCATGTCGGGGTCCCTCTCCGTGGCTGCCGAGAAGAACCAGCGCAGCTGCCTGGTGAGTGTGCGCAGTGGCCCCTGGAATGCAGGGCTGTGTGCTTCCGTCCCACCCTGCCCCCATCCACACATACATCACCTGACACCTCCTGGGGGCTCCGTGCAGGTGCAGGCAACAGCCGGGCCCCACACAAGACAGCCCCAGGGGCCAGGAGGCACACTTTTCAAACTGCAACACAGACAGGGAGTGAGGGGCCACAGATAATGTGCTCATGGTTGTTCAGAGAAAGGAGGCCTCCCGAGGAGGGAACGGCTGTGACGCCCTCTGCTGGCAGCAGGGACTTGGTGGAGGCCTTTGAACGGGCCAGTGCTGGGCTCTGAGAATATGGCTGTGAAGGCCAAGGTCCCTGCCCTCATGGAGGTAACACTCAGAAAATAAACTAACAAATATGAGAGGGATAGAGGGTGGAAAGTGCTAGAAGGATTGACTTTTGTCCTTGGTGAAAGCAAGTCATCAGTGGGGGTGCAGCAGGGTACGGGGTCCTGCGTAGTTCATATGACCCAGGGTCCCTGACGGGGTGTCACTGAGACAAGATCTCGCTGCATCGGCCCTGGGAGAGGCTGGAGACAATATGGAGGTGAACTTGGAGTGGGGAGGGCCCTGGGGACAAAGAGGGGACCAGGGCACTGGGTAAGAGCGAATAAGAGGCAGAGGAGAGGAGCAGGCTTCCTTATTCACTGTCCAGCTCCCACGTGCATATGAGGCGATTGAAAACACCATGGCTTGGGTTAGGCACACCTTAGTCTTCAAAGAGACATCTTTGCTCTTCAGCACTTTAAAGAAGTCCTTTGCAGCAGATTTGCCCAGTGCAATGTTGTTGTTGTTAAGGTGCCATCGAGTTGTCCCCAACTCATAGCGACCCTATGCAAGCAGAACGAAACACTGCCCGGTCCTGCCCCAGGCTCACGATACCTCAGCCTTGCTATACCTGAGCCCATTGTTGCAGCCACTGTGTCAGTCCATCTCATTGAAGGTCTTGCCCTTGTTCATCGACCCTCCACCTTACCAAGCATGATATCCTTCTCCAGGGAATGGTTCCTTCTGACAACATGACCAAAGTAGGTGAGACGAAGTCTGGCCATTCTTGCTTCCAAGGAGCATTCTGGCTGCACTTCTTCCAGGACAGATTCTGTTAGCAGTCCACGGTACTCTCAGCATTCTTCCCACAACTCAAAGGCATTGACTCTTCTTCAGTCTTCCTTATTCATTGTCCAGCTCTCACGTGCATATGAGGTGATTGAAAACACCATGGCTTGTGTCAGGTGCACCTTAGTCTTCAAGGGCATACCTTTGCTCTTCAGCACTTTAAAGAGGTCCTTTGAAACAGATTTGCCCAATGCTATATGACATCTGAGATCCTGACAGCTGCTTCCATTGGTACTGATTGTAGAACCAAGTAATATGAAGTCTTTGACAACTTCAGTCTTTTCTCAATTTATCATGATGCTGCTTATTGGTCCAGTTGTGAGGATTTTTGTCTTCTTTGTATCGAGGTGTAATCCATACTGCAGACTGTGGTCTTCAAGCTTCATCAGTTACTGCTTCAAGTCATCCTCACTTTCAGTGAGCAAAGTTGTGTCATCAGCGTATCACAGGTTGTTAATGAGTCTTCCTCCAATCCTGATGCCACGTTCTTCTTCATATCGTCCAGCTTCTCAGATTATTTGCTCAACATACAGATTGAATAAGTGTGGTGAAAGAATACAACCCTGACACACTCCCTTCTTGATTTTAAACCATGCAGTTTCCCCTTGTTCTGTTCAAACAATAGCCTCCTGGTGTATGTACAAGTTCCTCATGAGAACAATTAAGTGTTCTGGAATTCCATTCTTCTCAATGTTATCCATAATTTGTTATGATCCACACAAACAAATGCTTTTGCATAGTCAATAAAACACCAGTAAACATCTTTCTGGTATTCTTTGCTTTCAGCCAAGGTCTATATGACATCAACAGTGATATCCCTCATTCCACATCCTCTTCTGAATCCAGCTTGCATTTCTAGAAGTTCTCTCTCAATATATAGCTTCAACCATTTTTGGATTATCTTCAGTAAGATTTTACTTGCATGTGATATTAATGATATTGTTCGATAATCTCCACATTTTGTGGGATCACCTTTCTTTGGAATGGGTACAAATATGGATCTTTTCCAGTCAGTTGGCCAGATAGCTGTCTTCCAAATCTCTTGGCGTAGCCTAGTGAGTGCCTCCAGCGCAGAACCCATTTGTTGAAACATTTCAACAGGTATTCCATCAATTCCTGTAGCCTTATTTTTTGCCAATTCCTTCAGTGCAACTTTGACTTCTTCTCTCAGTACCATTGGTTCTAGATCATATGCCACCTCCTGAAATGGATAAAGATCAACCAGTTCTTTTTGGTACAGTGACTCTGTGTTTTCCTTCCATCTTCTTTTGATGCTTCCTGCATCATTCAATATTTTGCCCATAGAATCTTTCAATATTGCAACTTGAGCTTAAATTTTTTCCTCAGGTCTTTCAGCTTGAGAAATGCTGAGCATGTTCTTCCCTTTTGGTTTTCTAACTCCAGGTCTTTGCTCATTTCATTATAGTAATTGGCTTTGTCTGCTCAAGCTGCTCTTTGAAATCTTCTGTTCAGCTCTTTTATCTTGTCGATTCTTCCATTTACTTTAGCTACTCTTTGTTCAAGAGCAACTTTCAGAGTCTCTTCTGTGATCTACTTTGGTATTTTCTTCCTTCCTGTCTTTTTAATGACCTCTTGCTTTCTTCATGGATGATGTGCTTGATGTCATCCCACATTTCCTCAGCTTTTCAGTCATTGGTGCAATACGTTGTCTGATTTCTTGACTGCTGCTTCCACTGATGCTGATTGTGGAACTAAATAACATGAAATTTTTTACAACTTCTATCTTTTCTCCAATCATCATGATGCTGCTTGTTGGTCCAGTTGGGAGGATTTTTGTTTTCTTTATGTTGATGTGTAATTCATACCATAGATGACTAGTCTTTAATCATCATCAGTAAGTGTGTAAAGTCAGTGGCTGCAACAGTGGGCTCAGGTATAGCAAGGACTGGGAGGCTGGCCCAGGACCAGGCAGTGTTCTGTTCTGTTGTACGTGGAGTCACTGTGAGTCAGAGCTGACTCGACAGCACCTAACAACAACAAGGGGGAGAGGACCTGGAGGGGGAGGACGCAGCTCAAGGCTCAGGGCCCAAATTCCAAATGGAATTTATTTTAAGGGCAATTAGAAGGTTTCACCAGGCAACCCAGGGTCTTAGCACTTTGCTCTGCCCACTCTGGCCTGAGACGTGGTGAAAATGACCTGCTTGCCTCTCTCCACCCAGGTCTCTGTCTACAGCACAGAGCCTCCCGGCGACTGCACCTGCAGGATGCTCAGCCTGGGGGTGGAGGGAGGGAAGAGAAAAGAAAGGCACAGTCCTGGTTCCCTAGAGTCACTCTGACAGGAATCATACCACAAATGGGAC